TCCCCTGGTATGCTTCCAACTCCACCACTTGGGGCAAGTCAGCCTGAGCATGTCCCAAATTATCCTATTGTGAGTGAAACAGGTGATAGAATCTCCCTTGTTCTCTCCCTCTCTCTTTTATTAACAGAAAGAGAAAGTACATACATTTTGAAAAAAGTATTTTAAAGTAAATACATTTTGGCAAAAAATGTTTTCTTTCTAAATAACCTGTTTGACAGTCTTATCACAAAGAGACTAAGATGGACATAGATCAAAAGACATTTTTTATTTAAAGACTGTATGTATTAATTTGAGAGGCAGAGTTACAGACAGAATGAAAGACAGAAAGTTCCTCCATCCACTGGTTCACTTTCCAGATGGCTCAGCCAGAGCTAAGCCAATCAGAAGCCAGGAGATTCCTCTGGGTCTCCCATGTGGGTACAGAGAACCAAGCACTTGGGCCACCTTCTGCTGCCTTCCCAGGCCATAAGCTGGATTGGAAAAGGAGCATCTGGGATACAAACTGGTACCAATATGGGATGCCAGCACCACAGCCAGAGGCTTAGCCCACCATGCCACAGTGTCACCCCCTAAAAGCCTTTTTTAATTAATGAAAGATACTACATAAATATGCAAAGCTTCAGAAGTCCAGGAACAATATAGAAAGTAATCTAACATTTAAAATGCAGAATTAAAAAGAAAAGTTCACTTTGGTTAAAAAAAATTTAATCTACAAATACACACTTTCCATATCCTTTATGAATCATGTTTTATAGTATGCATTTATGCATTTTCAATGAACTTATAGACCAGTTTTATGCATGGGTTACTAACATTTTTGCACTAAAATAAACTTTTTTCTTTCAACTTTCCAGAATCTTTGTGAAGTCCCTCATAACTGCAATAAATTTCAGTAGGAAGAGAATAAATGAAAAACAAAATATGTATTTTGAAATGGTGAAAAGCTTCTCAAATTTTATTAAAAAAACATCAATTTATAGATTTGAAATGTTCAGTGACCCCTTAATCAACAGATAGAAAGCTACTAAAGGCAAATAAAATGAAGGATTCCAAATACAAAGAACAGACCTTGAATGTTGTGAAAGAAACAACAGCCTACTGGGTCAGCTATGTATGAATGATAGCTGACTTCTCCTCAGAAATTAGTGAAAGAAATCTTCACTACACTGAAAAAAATATCCTTCCATCTTTGATCCTATATGTAGTGTTAATTGCTGTAAAATATGAGATGAACAAGGGCAGGTATTTTCGCTCATTGGGTTAAGCTGCTTCTTTGGATGCTCACATCTCATATCAAAGTTCCTAACCTTGCTTGTGATTTAACTTCATAATAATGCACACCAGGTAAGTGCCAGATGATGGCTCTAGTAGCTGGGTCACAGATATCCACATGAGTGATCTGGATTGAGTTCCAGCCTCCTGGCTTTAGCCTCAACCCTGTTCCAGCCATTGCAGGTATTTGAGGGAGTGAAACAGCAGATAGAGCTCTTAATTTTTTATCAAGTAAATAAAAATAAATAAAGCATTAATCCATGAAGTATACAAAAGACATTTTCTGAACAGGAAAATGAGAATATAATATAAAAGAAGCAGTTCATTTTCAAATAAAATGATACAAAATGAATACTTGGATTAGTAGGAGTTAGGAACATAGGAGCATTTTTTACTGACAAAGGCCATTTGGATATTACAACATTATGTGCTGTCCATACAAAATTATCAACTTAAAATTAGCTTGTTATTAGCTCCTTGAATTAATAATACCACCTGTGGTTGTCTTGGCAGGGTCAAACCAAATGATTTTTTGGGTCTTATATGGCTAAAGAAATACTCAGGGACTTTTCATCATAATAAACAGATAATACATCAGGCTGATCATATCATTATAAATGCTAATGTGCCTAAAAACAAAACCTCAAATGATATGAAACAAAGTCCACAAAACTAAAAAAAGAAACTTAAGAAAAATCCTCAAAAGTAATGTTAGAAAATTGATTTACATTTTATAGTAATTGATGAAACTAATAAAACATCAACCATAAACATGAATGACAGTATTGACCAAAATAATATTTATAAATCACTGTCCAACATTTACAACAACAGAATAAATGATGAGCTACAAATCAAAAATATATCATGGTGAGATCCAAGATGGCTGAATCGGGTATAGCCATAATGACTTAAGCTGCTCTGAGATATGAACAGAACAAAGGAAATACTATTTTCCAGAGAAGTGACTGACTGAAATGTTAGACAAAGAAGTAAAAAAAAAAAAGTCAGTCACCCACTGACTTCCTACCTCAACCTGAGAGCTGATGGGGTCTGAGCAACTGATGAGCTTGGAGCAAGGAAGCCTCCTTGCTTCCTTCCCCTCCCTGATTCCTGCAGAGCATGACACTGAGCAGAGAAGATACACAGTGAGCCTCTGCTCTGCTCCTACCAGCACTGTAGAGTCAGGGCAATGTGTAAGGTAAAAGACAGATCCCTGCATCCTGCATCTGTGGGAGTTTGGGGGCAGAGCTACACTCACATACTCTACCTGAGCCAGAGAAAATCACCTTAGCTTCTGGGGGCTACCACCAGAAGCAGGCCATAAAAATGTTTGTTCCCACCCCAGGAGATCTGGGTAATGATCCACTATACCTGAAAGACCAGGACTGTAACAATTTATTGTAAATTTCTGGGTGCCACTGAAATCTACCCAGTGGACATAGGGAAGAACCTGCTTGCATTCCTCCTCTCTGGACCCATACTCTGCAGAGTAAAACCTGTACACCTAGTCCTAGGACTAGGGTTGTTGTTATTACTCAACAAAGTACCAGTTGGACTCTCTTACCAAGAACTGAGGAAGGGACAATCCATATCGCACAGTCCTAAAGCCACAGAAATCAGTGCCACAAATCCCAGTATCACTCAAGCTTGCCAGTAAGTCAAGGACCAGCCATCCTCATCTTCCTCAGCACCAAGAACAAGCCCTTGGCTATCACAATCATCAGGGAGACTAACACAGAATCTGTGGACCAAAGATGCACACCCAAAGAAACACTTATTCATCCCTAGGAACTGCAGCTGACTAGACCATTGTGTTACTAACAGACACAGCTGACAGCCACTAAAATAAAAGGACTCACTCAGACACTACAATCCTGGGTTCACCTAGAACCAAAGCCAAGGCAACAAGATTTGCACAAGAGAAATGAAAATAAAAACCATAATGAGGTTTCACTTCACCCCAGTAAGAATGGCTTTCACCCAAAAGTGCCCCTCCAAATAAATATTAGCAAGAATGTAGGCAAAATATACCCTAATACACTTAGGTGGGAATGTGAACTAACACAATCATTATGGAAGACATTTTGGAGATTCTTCAGAAATCCAAAAATGGATATAACATATGACATAGTCATCCCACTCCTGGGAATTTACCCAAAGGAAATAAAATCAGCATATGAAAGAATTACCTGTGCCCCCAACTTTATATAGCAGCTCAATTCATAATAGCTAAGATAGGGAATCAACCCAGATGTCCATAAACTGATGACTAGATAAAGCAAATGTGGTATGTGTGTGTGTGTGTATGTGTGTACACACACACATATATAAAATGGAATACTACTCAGCCATAAAAAAGAATGAAATCCTTCTTCTGCAACAAAATGGATGCAATTGAAGACAATTATGCCTACTGAAACAGGTCAACCCTAAAAATACAAAAATATTTTCTCTGATTTTTGGTAGCCTATACAGCAGAAAAAAATGTATGAGTGAAACTGACATCTTGAGATCTGATTATCATCTGTATCCCTTTTCTATATTCCTCAGGAACAGTGACGTTTCTACTATCTACTTGTTGAATTCTTTATTTAGTGGAGGGCTGAGCTTGTGATTATAAAGTAACTTGAAAATGTGCTATCACACAAATTAAAAGAAAAATAAGAAAGGGAAAAGGAGGAAGGGAAGGGAGAGTGAAAAGTATCATCATGCTCTTAAAACCATATATAGGAAATGCATGAAATCTGTTCTACTTATATAAACAAATAAAATTTTAAAAAGATATTCTAATTCTAGTTAACAGTGCTTGTTTTTATTCCCAGCTCTTGCTTTTGAGTCCAATTTTATGCTACCGCATGTGCTGGGAGGCAGTGGTGATAATCCAAGTAATTAGGCTTCTACCACTCATGTCAGGGAAAAGGAGTACATTCCTGGCTCTTGGATTCATTCTTGGTTACTATGGATATTTAGGAGAGTAAGTTAGTGGATAAGACGCTCTTTGATTTCTCCTAATCTACCTGTCTCTCTTTCTAATTCTCAAATATGTAAATATATTTTAAATGTAAAAGATTCAAGCAAGGAAAAAGCCAGACAATATACTTAATGACATTGATAAATATTTGACTATTTGAATTGAGGGTACTTTGAGTAGCTTAAAGTATGAATGAAGAATGGAATGATTTGCTGGAAGACAGAGCTTTGGGAAGTTTGCAGCACAACCAGCATGTATAGTCTGGCAGGAAGAAATGTATGTAGAGCTGTTTAAGAACCTGAAGAGATTCTGCTCTCCACACAACCCCAGTCCAATCCATAAATCTGGTACAGTCTCCCAAGGGTATTTTCACAATTCCTAAAACACTTTATTAACTGATTTATTACCAGTTAGCAACTCTTACCAGTGCAGAATGTTGTATGTTTATTTCTAGATTGGAACTAAACCACTTCCACTTTAGCATCATATGACCAATAAATACTATTCCAGACTTCATTTTCCACTAGAATTTAGCAAATTCTAATTTCTGATTTGGACCATGTAACAGATATGTCTTTGAGGCACCAGAAAGACTGTAGACAAATTTACAATCAGCTCTGATGGCTCTAATACCTTATAACTATGACAATACTACCTTGTTTATCACTTTTATGTTTCCATTTTAATTTAAAAATGCTCATAAAGCTCCTATAATACAATGTAAAACAAGTTGAGAAATAAGTAAACAACTTACTGGTGTTGTATTCATTTTCTTTGGCCCCTGAAACATGTAGTGGTATCTACAATTACACCTGGAAAAGAAAGTGAATACAGGGAGTTGTAAGAGAACTGGTCTCGCTTGCACTTAGACTCTACAATGTAGGGAAGATCATGATAGAAATGAATGCAGAATTATAGATATATTAGCTGGAGAAACAGAAACAATCTCTGTGGTGATTTAGCAATTTACACTTGATAAGGGGAAGGGAAGATCCTGAAAGAGCACCCAAAATTTTACTAACTGGCAGTGATTAAATCTAGTTATCCTTAGGTTAATGGAATCATTTTGTTGTTACTTATTTTTAAAAAGCAAGTGATAGGGCCGGTACTGTAGCACAGTGGGTTAATGCCCTGGCCTGAAGCACCGGCTTCCCATATGGGCAATGATTCTAGTACCAGCTGCTCCTCTTCTGATCCTGCTGTCTGCTATGGCTTGGGATAGCAGTAGAAGATGGCCCAAGTCCTTGGGCCTCTGCACCCACATGGAAGATCCAGAAGAAGCTCCTAGCTCCTGGCTTTGGATCAGTGCAGCTCCAGCCATTGCAGCCATCTGGAGAGTGAACCAGCAGATAGAAGACCTCTCTCTCTGTCTCTACCTCTCTCTGTAACTCTGTCTTTTTAATAAATAAAATATATCTTTAAATAAAAAAGCTAATGTTATGACTGAGAAGCAATTTATTATTTTCAGGATGACTGTTTAAACAAATTTCAGTATATCATAGAAATAAACATCATTTTGTCACTAAAACCATACTACAGAAAAAAAATACTTGAGTGGTATTAACTACTTTGGTATTACTACAGATGTACTGAACAGGAGTCTGTCCATATACTGAAAATCCTATAGAATTTAGTCATTTAGCAATCTGTGTATTTTTACCCACAACTGTACAGTAAAAATGGATATAATACATACTTATTGTACTATACTTTCCTAGTAATTATCCCAAATAACACACCTCCCAACACACAAGCCTTCAAATAATCTTCATCACAATGATCCTTGGCATTACCATTTTTCTTGCTTTACACATCTGGACATCAGTAAATATGAAACCTACACACTTTGAAAAGTACTTGCTTATTGGAGTTTACCTTATTAAACATTTATATTATGAAGAAGTCTGGGACTTGCCTATTGGAGACACAGAGTTTGGGCAAGAGCCAGAGCAAACCACCAAACTTGAGAGGGTTGTATATGGTGATGCAGATTAGAATATTGCTTGGGACACACATCCCATAAGCAAATTTGTGGTTTTCATCCTGGTTATTCCATACTTAAAATAAAACACCCTGTTGTTGTACCTGGGAGGTAGTGGATGATGGATAAGTACTTGGGTTCCTGTTACCCTCAAAAGAGATGCAGGTAAGATTATTTCCTTCTGGCTTCAGCCTGGCATAGCCCTGGCTGTTAGGATAATTAGAGAGTGAATCAAGCAGTAGATGGAACAGTCTCTCTTTCTCCCTCATCCTTTGTCCCTCCCTCCTCCACCCCTTCTCTGATGCTCAGCCTTTTAAAAAATAATTACAAAGAAAATTATAACATAAATTTTTGTTGATTTGTTATATATCAAATGCTGATATACTCTTGGTAAGGAAGAATTTAATTGCATGCCATATACAATCAAGAGACCTTCACATAGACCTGTTCGTGAGCATGAGTCATGCCAACTCTGTCAGCTAGGCTGCTGCCACACAAAATGCCTGGATATCATAAGAATGTATTGAGGGGCTGGTGCTGTGACACAGTGGTTTAACATCCTGGCCTTAAGTGCCAGGCATCCCATATGAGTGCCAGTTTGAAACCTGGCTGCTCCATTTCCAGTCCAGCTCTTTGCTGTGCCTTGGGAAAGCAGTGGAGGGTGATCCAAGTGCTTGAGCCCCTGGGCCTGGGAGACCCAGAAGAAGGCGGATCAGCACAGCTCCAGCTATTGCGGCCAATGGGGGAAGTGAACCATAGGATGGAAGACCTCTCTCTCTGTCTGTCTTTGCCTCTCCTCTGACTTTCAAATGAATAACTAAATCTTTTTTAAAAAAGAATATATTGAAATATTTTATACTCTAGTTGGGCACTGTATTGCATTTTATTTATATTTTACAAAGTGATTATCAGCAGTAGTCTGATTTGCTCACATTTTATATAATTGGAAATGGGCCGGCTGCTGTGGCTCAATAGGCTAATGCCTCCACCTGTGGTGCCAGCACACCGGGCTCTAGTCCCAGTTGGGGTGCTGTATTCTGTCCCAGTTGCTCCTCTTCCAGTACAGCTCTCTGCTGTGGCCCAGGAGGAAAATGGAGGATGGCCCAAGTGCTTGGGCCCTGCACCCACATGGGAGACCAGGAGAAGCACTTGGATCCTGGCTTCAGATCAGTGTGGTGCACCAGCCAGTAGCACACCAGCTGTAGCGGCCTATTGAGGGGTGAACCAATGGGAAAAGGAAGACTTTTCTCTCTGTCTCTCTCACTGTCTACTCTGCCTATCAAAAAAAAATGTAAAAAAAATAGTAATTGGAAATGGACCAACACTGAATCTCTGCAACATTTATGATTGTCAAAAAATGGGTAACTGATATTAAAAGAGAAAAACTTGCATTATAAACATATTTGATTCACACAATCCATAGACAGTATGGGGAGGGGAAGTATGGTCATATAAAGATACTTAGTCTTTTCTACTAAAATAATTAGTGTTCCATCCTTGGGTCATATTCCAGAGTTGAGAAAACTATTCTAGTGCATATTTTGAAACAAAAAGTGTCCACAAATACAAAGGTTTCAATCTCCATTAGTTACATAACTAAGAGCTTCTGAAATCCATCTGTCCATCTAAATATCTAACAAATCACTTACTGTTCTAAGAAATGGATCTGAACTTTTCCCTCTACTCGTTGGTTTATGTTACAAACTAGGCAAAGAGGCCAACAGAGGGTTTCATGGAGCTCTCATATGAAGATGGCTAGAATTGAGATGGGCTTGAGAGGAGTAGGACAGGGTATTGACTCTTGACCCACAGCCTATCCCTGGCTTTCTTTGTGCCTCACCTATGGTTTGCCCTGTTGAAATTCCCAAGCCTTCTCTGATCCTGCCATTGCCCTTTAGTGACTATTGTGCAAAATTGAATTTATAGCCTAGGAACTATCATCTCAGGACAAAGAAGAAATTACATGCTTAAAAAAATGGGTCTCTATGACACATTCCTTGAAATAAAAAAAAATGAACTTTCAGGGATCAAAGAACTAGTTTAGCAACACAACATACTGGTTTCTCATACCCATTCCCAGGAATTGTTCCCTTGGTCATCACACACCTCTTTCAATGGGAGCTGTTCCTACTGGGGTCAGATATTTGGATTCAATGAGGAGTCCTGATATGAATAAAAGTGGGAAGAACATACTCACAAATAGATGGCTAACCTTAAGCAACTTCTTTATCTGTTTCTTAAGTATAGATATCATATGATGATTGCAGTTCATGTTTTTGAGCACCAAGTCATGACAGCAATTCTAGTAAGTAATTTGTACTGGATGAATGGGAATAAATAGTCCCTGTAGTATAAAGGGAGAGATGAATAGAAAGGAGATTGGGTAATTAAGATTCCATCACTAGGATTATGAAATGAGGTTAATCTTTTTCTTTTTTAAAGATTTATTTGAAAGGGAAATAAGGAGAGAGGCAGGAGAGACTGACAAAGAGATAGATGGATCTTCGTTCTTGTGGCTCACTCCCCAAGTGTCTGCAACAGCCAGGATGGGGCCAGGAGTCAGGACCAGGCCATTCTATCTGGGTCTCCTATATGGCTGGTAGGGATCCAAGTTCTTGGGCCATGTTCCACTGCTTTCCCAAACACACTCACAGGAATGTGGATCAGAAGCAGAGTAGCCAGGACTCCAAATGGCATGCCAATATAGGATGCCAGCATTGCAAGCACTGTCCTAACCTACTGCACCACAATGTCAGTCCCAAATGTTAGTCTTCTCAGATTCATCTCTGGTAAATTATATAGTCACATGCCTCTGATGTCTGACCATGGTTTGTTTCATGTTAATTCATTTCTTAATTTTATTCTCAGAAAAGATATACAGAAAAGATTAATGTCATCTTTTAACCAATATCCCTTGGTCCTGAATCAATCACTGTTCCTTATCTAGTTAATATGCTGTCATCCCTTGGTCTTACATTTATATTCATATTTATATGTAAATATGCAATGTAACCTACAGAGGAAAGTCGACATTTTATGTGCATTGGAGTTTGAGACACTAAAATATACATTACATGAAAAGTTTGAAATAATACAATATATTCTAAGTTATATAATTTTCTTAAATAGCATAATTGGATATAAATGCAAATTCCCATGAGATTCATCTGTTAATAGTACCTATACAATTCACTGTTTTCATTCAGTTGTAACCATCACCATTGACAATTTTATAATTTTTTTATCTCCTTAAAGTGTTGAGGTTGAGTTTAGTGGTTAATAAACTGCTTGGGTCAGCACATCCCAGACAGCCTGGGTTTGAGTCCCAGCTCCATCCTGATTCAGCTCCAGCTTCTTGCTAATGCTCACCCTAGGTCTGTATCACCCAGAAGGTAGAGGCTCAAGTAGTTGGGACACCTAGCTACATTGTTGACCAAAATTGAGTGCCTAGCTCCCAATTTATAACTGTTTAAAAAATAATTTATTTGAAATTCAGAGAGAGTGACAGAGATTTTTCCATCTGGTGGTTTATGCCCCCATCTCTCCAAACACCTACAACAGCCAAAGTTGGGCCAAGGCAAAATTAGAGCTGAGGAATTCCATGCAGGTCTCATCTCCCATACTGGTGTGGGCCAACATGTGTTGCCTTCCCAGGCCTAATAGTCAGAAGCTGGATTAGGAGCAAAGTGGCTGGGATCTGAACTGACCCTCTGAAAAGGGAAGTGAGCATCCCAATTAATACTTAATTCTCAGTGTTATCATGCCTATCTTACCAGCTTCCAATTTTAACTTAGCTCAGTCTTATTTGTTTTGAACGGAGAATGACCCAGCAGGTGGAAACTTTCTTTCATTGTTATTTGTCCTTGCTTATAAAATAAAAAATAAATAAAAAGAAGGCTGTCTCTTTAATATCCCTAATACTTTCAACCCAAAGTCACTGCAAATGTACTGTTTCTATGGATGTGCCTACAGTGGACATTGCATGTTGTGGGGATGAGATCCAAGCATCCTAATGCCCAATACAGAGTCTCCATTATTCAAGTGTGGTCTGAGCCCTTCCTCTCAGCTACACTCACCCAGCACATAGTTCTGGCAGTAGGCAACTGAAGACAGGAAAAAAAAAATGAGGATGTCATCCCAAGCTGGCAGCTAGCAGGAGAGAGGGCCATGTGTTCTTAGTTGCACTTAGGAGTGGAGTTTCCATTTCACTGAGTTGTGATAGGGAAGGTAGGAAACAGGTCTGGATCCATAAGCACTGAGTCTCTCTGCTCTTAACAAATCTGTCTTCAGTAAATATTTCTTTACTTGCAAGTGTCTTTGGAAGCATTTCTAGGGAAGGTACGAGAATTTTCCTTTTTTTTTAAACAAAATTTGTCAGGGCTGGCATTGTGGTAAAGCCACCATTTGAACTACTTGGCATCTGCATTAGAAAACCAGTTCCAGTCCTAGCTACTATGAATCTGATCTGGTTTCCTGATAATGCACCTGGAATGACAACAAATGATTGTCCAAATGCTTTAGCCCCTGTCACATATGGGAAACCAAAAGGAATTTGGGGCTACTGGCTTTGGCCTTGCTATGTCTGGATCCTTGGGCCATTGATGGAGTAAACTCTCCCACCCTTTGTCACTCTGCCTTTCAAATGAATAAGTAATATATCTTTTTAAAACATTTTTTATAAATCCTACTAAAATGAAGGCAGACATATACTCACACTGTCATGCCAAAATTCTTTCTAGGAAACATACAATCTTAATGCTTACTTTTTTTTAACATTTATTTAATGAATATAAATTTCCAAAGTACAGAATATTGATTACAATGGCTTCCCCCCCATAACGTCCCTCCAACCCACAACACTCCCCTTTCCCACTCCCTCTCCCCTTCCATTCACATCAAGATTCATTTTCGATTCTCTTTATATACAGATCAGTTTAGCATACATCAAGTAAAGATTTCAACAGTTTGCTCCCACACAGAAACATAAAGTGAAAAATACTGTTTGAGTACTAGTTATAGCATTAAATCTCAATGTACAGCACACTAAGGACAAAGATCCTACATGAGGAGTAAGTGCACAGTGACTCCTGTTGTTGACTTAACAAATTGACACTCTTGTTTATGGCATCAGTAATCACCCTAGGCTCTTGTCATGAGCTGCCAAGGCTATGGAAGCCCCCTGAGTTCATTGACTCTGATCATATGTAGACAAGGCCATGGTCAAAGTGGAAGTTCTCTCCTCCCTTCAGAGAAAGGTACCTCCTTCTTTGATGACCCATTCTTTCCACTGGGATCTCACTCACAGAGATCTTTCATTTAGGTTTTTTTTTTTTCTCCCCCAGAGTGTCTTGGCTTTCCATGCCTGAAATACTCTCCTGGGCATTTCAGCAGGATCCGCATGCCTTAAGGGCTGATTCTGAGGCCAGAGTGCTGTTAGGACATTTGCCATTCTATGGGTCTGCTGTGTATCTCACTTCCCATGTTGGATCATTCTCTCCCTTTTTGATTCTATCAGCTAGTGCTTGCAGACACTATTCTTGTTTATGTGATCCCTTTGGTTCTTAGTCTTGCTTTATCAATTATATTTCTAACTGCCAAACAGTAATGACACATTAACCATAAAAATAAAACTAAATCAAATATCTCTAATAAATTACTGATGTGATAATTTATGTGCTTTGGAGGCTTTGAAGATTTTAGGGAGACCTATGTCATTATAATATAAATTTCATTTTAAATCCTGCAGTGGCCACCCCAGTGTTCACTAAACTGGCAATATCAGTGCCTGGGTTGAAAAAACACACCCGATGATAAATTTGTAAATTTCTTAAATACTATAAGTGGTATTCAAAGAGCAGAAAAGCCCACCATAATTCACAATTAAGTAGATAATATTGAAAAAATAGGAAACAATAATGAAAAATTACTATAGTGGTATTGGATTTATGCTTTTGGTAAAGTAGCTTGCCATTGTGTCCCTATAATGAAAAGTTTAAGTTTTGAGTAATTATAATTTAAAAAATTTAACCATGTTAAGAAAACACTCCTCTGTTTGCTGTTTATGTTATAGGAATTAGATATTGGATAACACACTTATTCAGTTTTATCATTTTTCTACTTTTCATAATGTTTTAATGTTTGTTACTGTGTCATTTTTAAATAAGATTTGTTTATTTGAAAGGCAGAGATACAGAGAGAAGAGGAGGAAGGGAAGGAAGGGGAGGGAGAAAGGGTGAGGGAGAAGGAGGGAGAGATAGAGATGGAACATCCATCCATTAGTTCACTCCCCAAATGGCAGCAACAGCTGGGGCTACACTAGGCTGAAGCTAGGATCCAGAGGCTTCTTCTAGGTCTCCCATGTGGGTGCAGGGTCCAAGCATTTGGGCCATCTTCTGCTGCTTTCCCAGGTGCATCAGCAGGCAGTTGGATGAGCAGTTGAGCAGCCAGGACTTGAACCCGCACATATATGGGGTGCTGGCACTGCAGGCAGAGGCTCAACCTTCTATTCCACACTGCTGGCCCCAGTATGTCATCATATGGATTACTATATTAACTTTACCTCCATGCAAGCATTAAACATCTTCACAATAATGTATCTAATGTATACAGGGGTTTGCGCACATGCATGTTCATGCATGCAGCAATATTTACATACGGTATTGAAAATGATACCGTGAGGTTGGTGCCATGGTTCAATAGGCTAATCCTCCACCTTGTGGCACCGGCACACCGGGTTCTAGTCCCGTTTGGGGCACCGGATTCTGTCCCAGTTGCCCCTCTTCCAGGCCAGCTCTCTGCTGTGGCCCGGGAGTGCAGTGGAGGATGGCCCAAGTGCTTGGGCCCTACACCTGCATGGGAGACCAGGAGAGGCACTTGGCTCCCAGCTTCAGATCAGTTCGGTGCGCTGGCCACAGCGCACTGGCTGCAGCAGCCATTGGAGGTTGAAGCAACGGTAAAGGAAGACCTTTATCTCTCTCTCTCTCACTATCCACTCTGCATGTCAAAAAAAAAAAAAAGAAAAAAGAAAATGATACTGTGAGAAACATTAACACACATTTCAAAAATGAAGTCTTCCTTGGAGACAGCTTCCTACAGGGCAAATCCCTGGGTCCTTCTAAGTACTACAGGCTGATCTGTATCTCTATAAAATTTATATCATGAAACGCTGACAACCAATGTGACCCTATTTGGAGATAAGACTTTAAGCAGATAATTGACATCAAATGATATCATCAATGTGAAGCCCTGATTCAAACTGATCAATGTTCTTATAAGGAGGGATGCACATAGACAGAGGAAGTACCATGTAAGGGTACAGTAACATGGTGGCTATGTGGTAACCAAAGGGAGGTCTCAGGAGCAACCAAACCCATTATCATCTTGCTCTCAAATATTTAATCTCTAGAACTATGAGAAATACATTGCTGTGATTCAAGCCACATATTCGACAGTATTATGTTATGGCCACCCTAGCAAAGCAATGCACTCTTTTCTCTGCTTATATTTCCTACAGCCAATTAGAAGGCCACCACAATTATCAGACAAACACAGAAATTAAAAGCCATGGCTGGGGATCAGCACTGTGGGACAGTGGGCTAAGACTCCACCTGCAGCACCAGCATCTCATATCAACACTGGTTTGTCACCTGGCTGCTCCACTTCCAACCAGCTCTCTGTTTATGGCCTAGGAAAGCAGTGGAAGATGGCTCAAGCCCTGGGTTACTGCACTGATGTGGGAGACCTGGAGGAAGCTCCTGGCTCCTGGCTTTGGATCAGACCACCTTCCAGCCCTTGGAGCCATTTAGGGACTGAAGCAGTGGATGCAGATCTTTTATCTCTCTCTTTTCCTCTCTGTCTGTAACTGCTTCCCAAACAAATAAATAAAATCTTTAAAAAAAGACATAATTGATCATAGAAATATGATATTTTATATATATATATATATATATATATATATATATATATATATATAATATGGGACTATTAATAAACCGACAGTTGGCAGCTCTACCTGTTATGCCACAGTGTTGGAAACTTAAGGAGTGAACCAGCACATGGTAGATCACTCTGTATCTCTGTATTTAATGAATTAAATTAATAAAAAAAATTAAAATATAAAATAAGATTACAAAAAATGTTTAAAAACAAGAATCAGCATGGGCATTTGGTGCAACAGCTAAACACACCATTTTTTTTTTACTTTTATTTAATAAATATAAATTTCCAAAGTACAGCTGATGGATTACAGTGGCCTCCCCCCCATAACTTCCCTGCCACCCGCAACCTTCCCATCTCCCACTCCCTCTCCATTCCATTCATATCAAGATTCATCTTCAATTATCTTTATATACAGAAGATCAATTTAGTATATATTAAGTAAAGATTTCAACAGTTTGCACCCACACAGAAACACAAAGTGTAAAGTATTGTTTGAGTACTAGTTATAGCATTAATTCACATTGTACAACACATTAAGGACAGAGATCCTACATGGGGAGTATGTACACAGTGACTCCTGTTGTTGACTTAACAAATTGACACTCCAATTTTGATAACCATGTCCCATATAAGAGTGCCACCTTTGAGTTCAGCAACCCCACTTGTGATTCAATTTCCTGTGAATGCACCCCCTGGGAGACAATAGGGGATGGCTCAAGTTATTGGGTCCCTGCCACACATGTGCAAGACCAGGATGGACTTCCTGGCTCCTGTGTTCAATCTGGCTGAGTTGCAACTGTTATAGGTTTTTTTTTTTTTTCCAGAGGGGGTGAAACAGCCAATGGAAGATCTCCCTCTCTCTGTCTCTCTGCCTTTCAAATAAACAAAAATCAATAAATAAGACTTTTAAAAAAAGCATAACAGAGAAAATGATTGCAACCACATTACATACTAACCCACTTACATCAATAATCACTTTAAATGTGCATTATCTAAATACACTAAAGATAGAGATTGACATGGGAAAAATAAAACCAAGACCCAACTTCGTGCTGTCTATAGGAAAACCATTTAAATATACAGATACATGAAGGGAATTTGAAGTCATCTTGGCCAATCATATTTCATTTGCATAGTAGGAATACATTCAAGAGGTCTGTTGTGCAACATGGTGAAAATAGTTAATAACAATGTGTTCTACTATAGAAAAATAAATAAGAATTTAGACTTTTAAGGATTCTTATCATGAAAATAGGTACATAACATAATGGATATGGTAATTGCCTTCCCTTGTTCATTTAAATTATATAAATATTTCCAAATTCCATTATCAATTTAAGACACATCTATACACAGCTGCTTAAAAATAAAAATATGCAGAAAAATAGTCCATTACAATACCAATTCAATTAAATGTAGAAAAACAGCATTCATTTCAGACTAATCAGAATTTAGGTCAGACTACTAAAAGGGTTACACAGTGAGACAACTGGCAGTTCTTCAAGAAGACATTACAAGGCTTGCTACCAGTGCCCCTAAGTAGAGTATTAAGTTATGTAAGAGAAAACTTATATAACTCCAAGCAAAAATACAGATCCATCATTCCTAATCAGTACAAATAGATCAACAGTATACATACTCAACCAGTGGTCATTAGGAACTAGGAATATGTTACCAACCAGAAATGTCAGTTAACACCAGGTGGGATAAATAAATAAGGTAAGTCTAACTGCTGGGAAGTCAAAAACTTAGTAAGTGCATAAGCATGAAAAGTTAGATACTTAATCCTTGTATTCCACTAACACTGCCTACAGAAGTAGAATTTATTCACAAC